ACAAATACATTAATTTTCAATTACATATTTTACAGTTATATTAATTTTTTTTTCTATACATGCATATACTAGAAGTAATTAAAGAAAAAATTTACATTTTTTTTTTATACAAAATATTTTTACAATATTTATAATTCATGTGATACTTGTAAAAATGAAACATGCACTTTAATTAAGGCGCATGTTTAGTAAATTCTGGAGGGTGTAAATTATATACAAAATTTGAATAAAGTTAATGATCAAAATGTCGAGTAATTTCCTCTTATGAGTTTATCAGGGTTTAGATAGTTTACCAAAAGTTTCATGTAATTCGTGATTAATTTTATTTTTATAACTACATGCTAGTAGTTCTATCTGTTTCCAGTAACTTATTCGTAGCGTATCGAATAGGTGATAGGTCAATCGGACAGTATTTAATTGGCTTACTCATGAAATTAAAGTTTTTACACGTGAAACATTTTTATTATTAATGTACGTCATTGCTTAATGGATAATTTTATTGTTATATTAAATAGCTTTGAAGAAGTAATAAATACAGGCATACTTTTATAATTAAGAAATGCTATTTTGCACTAAAAATTTATTTTATTGAAATAAAAATTGATTTTATTATTATGCTCCACAAACGTTATGTAATTTTGATTCATCTTATAAATAAACGTTTGTTTTGTCCAAGGCAATGATGTTACCTATTACGAATATGGATCAAATATTATTATACAAGTAAACTTATATTTCAACATAAAATAAACAAAAAGTAATGCATTTAATGTTATTGGCAAATTTTTATGCATCAAAATTATTTCGGATGCCATGATTCGAATATACAATTTCACCGATTAACAATACAGATGTAGCCACGATGAATTAGGAGTGTCAAATATTTTACAAGAGGTGCAAATTTTCGTTAATTCAATTCATATTATTTACATTTACACGAATTCTCTAAAATATAATCATTTAAATTATAAAGTATTCATTGTGAATCACTATCAGAAATAGTGATTTTTTCACATTGCACTTTAAAATGTAATTTTCAAAATATTAATTATTTTTAATTTGGAAAGCTTATTAAGAATTTTATCTTATACATATATATCTATTACAAGAATTAAATTTATCACGAATTCCTTTTTTTAATGGTGAGAGCAGCATATTTATGCTTATGTGGTAGTATAAGTATATGACGCGTTTGATCATTCGATATTACGTCATCGTTGTCTCCCTCTTTTGTAACCGGCGTTTATTCTATCGTGAAACATCTAAATACATGTTCGGTGTATTTTAAGCACTTTTATGCATTAGAAGTGACATATTCATTGTGTGAAATTAATTTTTAATTAATTGTGTCGCATCACTTTGCAATTATTAACTTACTTTCGTCAGTGGTCAAGAAGTATATATGGTAGCTGTCTTTTTTAAAACGTATGTTATCCAAAAGCGCAAAAAATTGAACTGTATTCATTCCGCTTCCAGACCACATTTTCCGCGGTATTTTTAAAATATCTATTTTTTGAATTCATAAATTCTTTGATACTTTTGACAATCATATATATAAAAAGTTTCAAATAAGTTAAACACGTTCAATTTTCGTTAAACCAAAATAAAATGTGACATTTATAAATTACAATGCAGTATCAATTTCAATGTTATATTATATTTAACAAAATAAATTGTTCTAACTGAAGTCTAATTCACTTTTCAAATAGCACTACTTGTTAGTCAAACATACCTGATCTTAATAATTGAATTTAAACCATCTGATTATCATGAGCTCGTCGTAAAAATTAAAAGAGGAGGAATTCCGTTTCAGAATAATCTAGAGCATGATATTTTGGTGCTTTTATTTTCAGTAGTTGTGGAAACAAAACTAGATTTAAATAAAGGTATCGGTACGGCTTCTTGCCCTCGTTCGTAATTCTCGTACTCTAATATGGATCTCACACAGATTCACACGGTTTGTAGTTTATTACCTGGGGTTCACAGTATTTTTACTTCGCCCCTGATTACATATTGAAACGCATGCAGTGCGCAGAATATCCACAATAAGTGTCGTGGCGGGCGTCTGCTGCGTCGGCTGTTAAATAGTATGTAACAGTAACATAAAATGTGAAATTCTACAGAAGTTTTTGTAAATTTGTTTCATAAATTCTGCTGCAAAAATCTCCTGTGAAGGTTTTGTTAACCTTACAAGTTCAATAAACTCTTAACGGAACTCTTCGATTTTTCGTCATATCCTATTACTGATAAGTGTAGTCAGTCGTCGTGCATACCAAAATTAGGGCGTGAAAAGGTTCGTGTGGTTAAATTGAAATTTGCTCAATTTTGAAAAAAAGTACGTGTAATGATAGACAGTATACGTAATGATAAAGTATAGAAAGCCGGGTGAACAAGTTACTTGGTTCTGCATATTTTTGGTATCATTGAATTATTATTACGTTGTAAATATTATATTTTTAATGCACTGTTTTTCGTTATATTTTGTTTTATGCATTCTTCTTTCTTAACCTTACAACATATTTTAGCAACATGGTAGTGCTTTGCAAGGAATAAGTACATATGTATGAAATTTTATTGGATAATAATGTGTAACAACATCAAACATGACTGGTTTACAAACAATTCGGCATACCTGTAACTGTTTCCCGGAGATAATACGAGTATTCATAAATGTTTTATAAATGTAATGATTTGTAATCATAAAGCTATAGTAATGACATTGGTCACTAATTTTAAGATAACTTATGTAAATCAGGTAAACGTTTGTTAATTTTTATATATATTATAAATTAAAATATATAAAATAATATTTCAAAGCAATTAGAATAATATTGTTCTTGTCTTAAATATTTCAATTTTATAATGTGCTAACACAAAAGTTTTTAAATCTGTTTTTGTTTGGGTCAGATATAACATGCATAAGTAATTTTAGGGTTTTGTTACAGTTTATACTTATTTTTTGTTGCATGCAGTTTAAATACAAAATTTTACTTAATATTTGTTTTAATGTTTTATGTGTTTGTTATTTTTTTCTGTTGATATGAAAGTGTATTTAGTGTATTTAGCATATGTATATGTAACACAATATGTAAACTTAACTTGGCATATTTTATTTAATAGAATTTTTATGGACCTGGCATTGAAACAATAAAAAATGTCTAGAAAGCGTGCTAGAGAAGAAACTATGTTGAATTCTACATCATATTTAAATATTCAAAATGGAGATGCATCTTGCTCCAGAGAAGATTCTCCTGTTTATCCTGTAAGTATTAACATTTAATATAAAAAATATTTGTTATAAGTTAAATGCACTTACGAAGTAGAAAAAATTATCTATAATTTGCTATTTATCAGTCATTTGAATTATTTAAAATAATAGCAGTATATATCTCTTATATTTAAAATTTTGTTTTGCTTATATGCAAAATGTGTTAATCACTTGTGTTAACTTTGCTTTTTAAATTACTGTATTGTAGTTTATGTACAAATTATGCTGTAATATTAATAGATTATCTTTAATCATTTATAAATAATACTTCTTTAATGTCATATCCAATATGTAGAATCAAAAACTTTTAATGATAGTGGTATGATGTGATGCAAGATCAGCATATCTATGCTGATATAATACTGTGGATACTTTGTTCCTTAAATAGTCTTGTTGAAATGTTTCATGAGTAACTATATGACCAATGGGCTTTTAAAACATGTAGATTGTAATAAAAAGTTCAACAAAAAGTGTTTCAACATACTGTGCAATACATGCTTATTTTATTAACTTGTAACAAAGTGTCATATTTAGCTAATAATCATATTTGACAAAGTTATTCATTTTATTCTCTTGAAAGAAAATTTATTTTGTTGAAATTTATAAAAAGTATATTTTTTTTTATAAAAAGTAAATTTTTTGGCAACATTAACAGCTAGTGACAATGACTTGGGGGACCAACAGGAATCCAAATAATGAATCAGGTCAAATTTCGCTCAAAAAGTATAATAGCGAAATTTCTGTTTACCACAAAGAACTTCCAGTGAGTTTAATTTTTTTTTTTAATAACTTCAATACCAATATATAT